CCCCAAAACCCCAAAACCCCAAAACCCCAAAACCCCTTCAAGCAGAGTTAAGGTTGAAAATTTAGCTTAGGCAGTACAGTATTGAGCTAGTGGAAATTAATCATCTGGGCTTGTTCTCTCACAATTCGGTTGATCTCCATCTGGTTTTCAATAGTGGCCTGCTTCTGTTGGTGGATCTTTTGAACCCTTTCTCTGTTGTTAATCTCTCTATCAAGTAATCGATTCTTGCGATGCTGGGACCTTCTTTGTTCTCTCTTGAAATTGTTCTGCATCACTCTACAAGTTTGAGGATAAAAGAGTACCAAAATCTCAGTGTATTCACCTCCTTGAGATTCTCTACATTATTATCCAGCTGTTCCTTCTTTTGTTTAATTTTTTTTAAATCTTTTAAGTATTGTGATTGTAATTTTCCTTGCCAATGAGAAAACTCTTGATCGCTTTGGGGTAAAAAATGGCTTACTTGTAGTTCTTGATTGACTTGGATTTCTCAATTCTCATTGATAAATTTAGCTTATGGTTTTCTCTCATTTTCTTCATCAAAGTCTCTTTCCTTCTGTAAGAGCTTGCGTTCTTCCGATGCAGCTTGACAAACTCTATTTGCTGTCTTTCCTCTTTCTGTAAGTCTATCAGAGATTTCTTTTCAGATATTTTAGGTACATTTTCAGTTGCTTTTCTCGCTTTAGAAGATACTTTTTCCAAATTGTTAGTAATTCTCTGCTCTGCTAGTCTCTGCTTTTGGTTATATGCCTCTAGGTTCTTTTCAGCATCGCTTGCATAGATCCTAGACTAGTTAGGGTCACCTAAATACCTAGTGTCTTGGGTGTAGTAATTTGCAAACCCAGTTGAATGTCTGGATTTCGTAAAGTTCTGATACTCTTTCTTCATTCTTTTTCTGCTTTGTCTTACCTGACTCCTGTACTCGTTCAGGGACTTATCCTCCAGTTGCTTAATCTTGTTCTTGTAGCTCTGGAAAATAATCTGGCGATGCTCTTCTTTATTTCAGCTGAATGGCAATCTTGCCTTTCTCCTGTTTTCTTTGAGATTTATAGAACTTTTCTAACTGCTTTTCCCTATTTCTCTTTCTTTTTAAGTAAGTTCCTCATCCTGCTATCAGTGAGCTCCTTGAGACGTTGACGACACTTGACTAGGTTAAAACTTTTGTTTTCCTGGAGGCTGACATCCTCAGGTTTTGTGAGAAAAGTGACTCTTTGGTTGGCAATAATCTTCTCTGAAGGCATTCTTCCGCTTCTTCGACTCCCTTCAGGCTTACTGGAGGGATTTCTTCGAGTATTTTGAGGATATTTACTCGCAATGTCAGTCAAGAAAAAACCTTCAGATTTCTTACCTTCTAAGAAATCTGTCTGCTCAAGAGTATTATTTTGATGGTCTAGATGAGCTCGATTTGAAGCAGCAGTTGTCCTTCTCATATTCAAAGGCTTTATTTTTCTTTTGTTCAAATTTTGATTTGCAACTTCTCACCCACAATCTGGAGGGTTATGGTACCCTTTTTCAAGAATTTGCTCAGCAACAAGCTTTATCTTTCTGATTACGTTGTTATTTTAATGGGGAGGAATCTGAAAATTAGGTAAATGATTTACCGATCATGCTATCAAAATAAGCCTGGTCTCTTGAAAATCCACTTCTGCTATTATAATTTGTCTTTGCTCTCTTATGAGCCCTATGAGTGGAGTCATGCTGAATGATAAAATTCTTAAGATCTTCAGAAGGAATTTTCAAATCCTTTGCAGCTAGCTTCGCTCACTCTCGTAGCCGTATTCCATTGAATACAATATTGAAATAACCCATTAAGAATAATTTTCAATTTTTATTTCATTTTTCGGGGTTTTGGGGTTTTGGGGTTTTGGGGTTTTGGGGTTTTGGGGTTTTGGGG